GGTGCAGCGCGATAAAGAAACTCAACCTATGCGTAAAGTCGCAGTGAACTTTGGGTTTATATAGGCTCCGCCCCGCAGTGCAGTCTTGGATGTGAGGGCGATCTGGCTGCGACATCTGTCACCCCATTGATCGCCAGGGTTGATTCGGCTGATCTGGCTGGCTAGGCGGGTGTCCCCTTCCTCCCTCAACGCTCCATGTGCGTCCCTCCCGAAGCTGCGCGCTCGGTCGAAGAGGACGACCACCCCCGATAGAGGAGGACCGTTCCTCGGTCAAGGGTATACGAGTAGCTGCGCTCCCCTGCTAGAACCTCCAAACAAGCTCTCAAGGTCCATTTGTAGGAGAACGTAGGGTAGTCAAGCTTCCAAGACTCCAGACACATCCAAATGAGGCGCTGCACGTGGCAGTCTGCCTTTCTTTTGAACGAAGGTGGCAAGAGGTCTAACAATCCATTCTTTTTCTTTCTTTTGTCTTCTTGAGACAGGGTCTCGCTATGCAGTTCAGACTGGCCTGGAGCTCACTTTGTAGCCCAGGCTGGTCTCGAACTCCACGGTCCTCCTGCCTCAGCCTCCTGAGTGCTGGGATTACAGGCGTGTGGCATCACACCTGGCTTAACAATCCATTCTTTTTTTTTTTTTAAAGAGTAAAAGAAGGATAACATTATAATGCGGGGGGCTTACCAGATTACAGACAAAGTGGTAAGAAATTATCAATGGTTGTTTTACATATTGTTATCTACAAGATAGTTTCTCAGGAAAACAAATAGACTAATAATAGTGAGTTACAGACAAAAGAGGTAGGAGATTATCAGTAGTTGTTGTACTATACTTTGGTATCTTCAAAGTGGCTTCTACAGAAAACAAATAGAGCTATACATGAGTGACCAATTGAATAATCATTAACTATTCTCAATGGTTGTTGCAGGAGTCACATAATAGTAAACATATATCCATTAACAATCCATTCTTAATCGAAGTATATCCAGATTTTACCCCCTTTCATCCCAGTGGGTGGTCGACCCCTACGTTTTAGACAAATGCCCTAAGCCACAGCCTACACATAGCAGGGTAGAAGTGGTGCGAAAGAAAAGGAACGTGGCTTGCAAATAAAACTAAACACGCGTAGCCACTAGCAAGACGGCATTGTGAACAGAAGGCAGAATTCGCATGCACGTTGGTATGCCCTCGAAATAGCCGCTTGTAGAGGCAGTTTCCGCTATTTCCAGACCGTGCGGGGTATGGCTCAGCCTCGCGCAGGAAAGGCCCCTGGGAGTCACCGAGGGGGCCTGCGGCTGGGCGTGGCACCAGAGAACGCGGGCAACCCCGTCCCGCATTTCCGGGCTGAAGGGTGGAGAACGCCCTGGGAGGCGCCAGGATAGAGAGGTCTCTATCGAGCGCTGGCACCGACTCCCTACCAGGAGTGCAGCCGTGTGGTGCAAACGCTGCCCGCAGGAACAGTGCGGAAGGACCCACGAGGGGTGGGGCGCAGCTCAGCGGCCGAGCACCTGCTCCGGGTGAGGCCCTCGGTTCAGTCGCAAAACCCAAACAAAACACCCTCTCGCTGAAGTGTCCACGTGAAAAAAGGAGGTATAGTTTGAAGATGGGTAAGAAAAGGCAAAGCATGGAGGTAGAAAGAAAAGGTTTAATAATGAGATTGCAGAGAAAAGAGAAGGATGTCCAGGACGAGATTCCGCTCCCCGCCCCCCCAGCTTTCCTCGTCAGCCCTTGCCCGTGTGTCACAACGCTGTCATCTAACGCGGGTGCTTGTCTGTAGTATTAGTAACTGGTAAATTCCACCAGGCTGCGGGGTTTTGTCTTTTATTTTCTTCCTTCGTAATGTTCGGAGAGTACTTGTTTAATGAATGACAAAACGAACAGCAACAAAAGCCTTCGCGCTGAAGGATGACCTCCATCCCGCTGCGCTAAGGGTGCGCTTCCAGCTTCCCAGGAGCGCTGCCGTAAGCATCCACGCGGTGATCGGCAGCCAGGTGCCCAACGAACCACGTCACTTACAAAGAGGAGACACCGGCCTTAAAGTTATCTTTTCATGTGTGTGAAAACGAAAAGAGCAACTCAAATCAATTTTTCTTAAATTGTAACTTTATTTGGAACAGGAGAATTTTCCTTACATAAAGTCAACATTATTAAACACTAAGGACAAACTTTTTCAAAGCAAAATTTTATTTCGGAAGGTTCTTAGTTCAGTGGCTTTCTGTCAGCCTATCTTTTCATTATTAAGAATATTTGCTTTATAAATAAATACAGTCTCAGTTACGCTGTTGTAAACAAATCAACTAAGCTACTATCTGCACTGACATATCTGAGATTAGAAGACTTTTTCAGGTCATTTTAAATTCACATTAGACGAGTGTTTTTAAGAAATTGGTAACACCAATTACTGTGATGTTTGTCCCATTTTTCTTCCGAATGGTTTCCATAAGATGGCCCTCATAATAATTATATAAATGTACAGTACATTTGGTTGGAAATTATAAAAATTAATCACATATTAAACAAGTTGCTACAGTATGCGTCAATGACATAAAACAATTAGTGTCAAAAATTTTCTTACAAACATATTGCTTTTGGTCATACACTGAGCTGAAACAAAGCCTGTACTGCTTACTCTCCTAAATGGCCCAAAACAATGGCTTGGTCGTAGAGAACTGCTATTTTATAAGAAAAATGGTATCCAGTCACTCCAACAGGGCCTGTATTTGCACTTGAGAAGACATTTTTATTTTGCTAGACATGTGCTTGCTTGATTGATTGCACTGAATTTTTAATAAGCCCAAAAGGTGTCACAGTGGCACTTTTTTAGATATTTGTGGTCCTTTAAACAAGTGATGTATCTAAAAAACTGTTTGAAGATTGCTTTTCTACTGAACTGAATCCTGCAATGCTCAAGCTGGGTGAGGGTCTGGTAATTAATGGAATTTTATTGCAAAGTGAACGATCATATCCAAAGTGGTTTACCACAAATGCAGTTTCCCTGCAGTGCTTGCTGTGTGTGAGGCACAGCTGTACCCCTTGGCGTACCATGGTCATTGAACTCTTGGGCTCAGAATGAGGGCCATCTGCACCACTTCCTGACACCCCAGGAAACCTTGACTGTAATGAGGTATAGACATGGTGAGGTGCAGTGCAACCTGCCACTCCTGCTCGTGTCTTGCACTTTATAATTCTATGGTAATTAAAAATATATGTGGCTGGGCGTGGTGGCGCATACCTGTAATCCCAGCACTCGGGAGGCTGAGGCAGGAGGATCGTTGCAAGTTCGAGACCAGCTTGGACTACAAAGTGAGCTCCAGGCCAGCCTGAACTGCATAGCAAGACCCTGTCTCAAAAAAGACCAAGAAAAAAAAAAAAAAAAAGAAAAAAAAATATATATGACAGGTAAAATTTTATGTTCACTTAAAAAATGGTCACTATTTCCTTCTGTGCTACATAGCTTGTGTACACAATTTGTCCTCTACCTATTTTGGGGGGAAAAAAAGAATACTTATAGGATTTGCTAGTTCTTCAGGATTAGGTTGCTTTCTCAGTCTTCAGTTTCCTCAGCTGCACACCAGTTTCTTGATGTTCATGTGAATAAACGTGTTTAGTTTCCCCAGGGAAGCTGTTTGCTCGTGAACAAAGAAAAGGGTACATGGAAGGAAAACTGAAGTGTTCCCTGAATGTGGGCTCCACAACAGTTTTAAGAAAACAATTTTAAAATATGTAATAATCAAGTAACTAGGTTTTCTGATATAAAAATGTAATGACCTACACACAGGCTAGAGTACAGAGAATATGGTAATGCCAACCCGTCCGCATCTCTAAAGGATATTTACAATCTAAAACCAGCTTTCCAGAAAGCTGGGCACGATTTCCGCTTAGTTTACTTTTTTATATATAATACAGAAAGAGAAAATAAATATTAACCTCACAGTAAGGGACTCGTCTCTGAAAACACATGTTCTGCTGCTTTAGATAACAAATCGAGAATATAATACAGAAATGAATTCAGTTCAGTTGTGCTTGCACGTACAGTTTTGGAAGCTTTGCCGCCAGCTGGCTCACAGGAAAGTGTTATCTATCAGATCCACATCCCTTCTGTGCTTTTCTCGTGCCCCTCAGGACCACAGAGGCTGGTCAAATATACTTTTGAGCCACGTTCTCCAAAGCATATTACTCCCTGATTTTAGGTATGAGCCCTTTGGAAGTCATGGTAACTTGCTCGGGCTGCAACTTATTATTAATACACTGACACGATCGGCTACCAACCTGCTAGGCTGAGCCACATGCAAGTGTCTTATTCACCTTAACCTACCGTTTCATCTACAGATCTGATTACTCCATGTGACTTGCCTCCTGCATCCTGGAACCTGGAACCTAAGAGAGCCACGTGGGCCCTGGGAGAACATGAGTCTGAACACTGTTAAGATTACTGCTGCGTGCACTTTCGCCCGGAAGGTAGCCATGAGCAGAGGCAGGTGTGTCGTGGGCGATGGACGGGAGTGGACCTTCTGTCCTTTCTGTTTCCAAACTAGCTTTGTCGTCTGTGAAAGTGCTGTAAACATTCCTCTCAACGGAACAGCCTCTGCCCAGCGAATAGAGCTCTTACTCTTGAAAGAACCTATACGAGTTAGGAGTTCGAATGTGGCACACCGTGGACTCTAACAGCGTGGCAACCGGGACTTCCCGGTAAGTGGGTCCCCTGCCCTATATCTTTTCTGCTCCCCAAAACATCCTGAGAATTTATCTAGGGCAGAAGATTACCCTTGAGCTGCTGCTAGCCAGGTCTGGAGAACTAAGCTGAGCACAAAATTCCATCTCAGTTCTTAGAATAAAAACTTATCTGCTGCTTTGAAACTTTTCTTTAGTCATACATCTTGGCAGGAACATAAGTGTAACTGACAGTGTTAACCTTTATGCTGAAACCTTTTGCTGTAAAAAGCTTTCCTTTCAGGAGTATTTAGACAATTTGACTTCAAAAATGGAAGAAAACAGAATGAGTCAGCTTAGTATGATTAAGGTTGGTTTCATTTAGGTATCACAACCACATCCAAGGGTGTTGTGAAAATTGTAAAACATATTTATAGTGTTCTTTGTTCCAGGAAACAGAAATAAAACAAAGTGGATGATGCAACAGTACTTTTAGGATAGCACAGTGGTATCAAAAACAGTGACGTGGTATTAGGATAAGCAGATGATTCCTTTCTTAAAGTCAGTCCGAGAAAGCCACGTTAACAATGTAACCACACCGTGATATTCTGATATTCGCACATACTGAGTAAATAACCCTTTGTCTGGTAGCCTTGCATTTCACCCTTGTTGCAATACTGTATCAATATTATTACATTTTTCAAAATCTGTATAAAATATTATCTGGAACTCCAAAAGAAAAATCACTTAATCTTTAAAAAGTTCATTACAAAGTTGACGGTATAAAATGCTAAAACATAATCCATATATACAAAATGCTGTTATTTAAGAAAATAATGAGACCTAGTTTTAGAATAAAATAATTTTATACCAAAAGAGGGTATTGCATTCAAATCAATATTTAAAAAAACTTTAAAAAAGAATATTGAAATGTCTTAGCTCAGAAGAATAACCATAAAGCACTGATTTGCTTTTACATCATCCACACAGTTTCGCAGGTCAGCCCTCGTCAGCCGAGGGAGAGTGTCCTGCTCTTCCCCTATAAAAGACCCTTGCTGCTGAGATGGTCATCGCCGAGCCGGGTACTTGGACGCCCAGTCTGTCCGGCCGTGCACTGGCTGGGCGGCTGGAGGCCGGGGTTTCAAGCCAGGAGTGCTTCTTGGCTGAGTGTGGAAGAAAGGCCGCCCAGGATGAGGTCTCACAGCCTTCAGCGAAGAATAGCCTGGGTGGGAGAGACAGAATGGCCTGACTGACTGGGGCCTCAAGCAAGCCGGGTATAGACAGTGAATCACGGTGACAGAAACGTCAGCGAATGAGAAGGTCAGGGGGAACATCTGGATCCCTCCTTTTGGTCCTCCTAGTTAAGACAACCCCAGTTCTCCAACTAGTTAAGAGTTGTCAAGTCAAAAGCAGGGGTGTCATTCTTACCTCCTCCTTCTCCTCATATCCCACCTACGCCTTCACCAGCCAACCACTCCCCGCCTCATCCGAGCTGGAGTCACTTCTTACCTGGAGACCTGCCACAGGCCCCTGTGGCAAGCGTTCCCACAGGGCCTAAGGACAACTAGCAGGAGGATGACCTGTGAACGTGGCCGACAGGTCGACTTTCTCCTCTGCTCGCACCCTTCCAGCAGCTCCCGTGAAATACACACACAGGGGCCCGCTGGGGGCCCCCATCACCCCACCTCTGACCCCACACACGCCCCTCCTGCACACTGATCCCTTTTATTTCTGGCATCTGCCAGACCTGCCCTGCCCCATGTGCTGGAGAAACCACGTCTGGATCAGTCTCCCCCACGCTGAACGCACAGCCACTTGCTTCCTTCTGAGCTTCACTCAATGACTCCTCTGCAGTGAGCTATTCTCTGGCTTCTCTGGCTAAAATCGTAATCTGTACCTCACACTCCAATGCCCACAAGCTTTACCTCCCTCCTGTTTTATTTTTCCCTTAACACTTATGAGCATCTGACACTGGTTTAACCCCATCAGCGTCTGCACAGTGCAAGCTCTCCCCGGGCAGACTCCTGTCTGTCTTGCACCCCGGTGGATGCCGGGTGGGTGCCCGGCACAGAGCAGTCATTCAGTGTGATGTGTCTAGATGTCCCCCAAAGCCTCCTGTGGTCATAGGTGGGGCTTTTCAGAGGCGGCTGGATCTAGAGTGTGTGACGCTGGGACTGATTCAAGGCGCAGTGCTAGGATCAAGGGCGTTAGGATTAAGGGTGTGAGTGCCACCCACCCTAAGTAGCCTGGATAAGATAAAAGGGGCAGAAAGCTGTGGTTGGCCTTTGTAGACTTTGCTGATTTCTGTTTGCCATGCATGGTTTCTCCTCTGCAGTTCCCTTCTGTAAAGCCACCCTGCCCTGGAGGCAGCTGATTATGGATTGAAACCTCTACAAACTGCGAGCTAAGTAAACCTTTCTTCCCTTCACTCTAGGCATCTGGTATGTTGTCTCAGCAACGCGAAAAGGAACTAAGACATTCAGTAACTGTTGAATCAAACTCATGAATAACGAGAAACAGAACTTACCAGGGGAAGGGTCTGGAATAGGTGCCAGGTGTACTCTTGGCATAGCAGAACCAATTTCTTTTTTCAGAAAGGAAGGGATGTAATTTCCAGTCAGTCCACTAGAACTTGTAGAGCCGGAACCAACTGATTTGCAAAAGCAAAAGCTCGTGTTACACAGCAACACTCATATGACCCAAGCAGCGTCACAGGAGAGTAGTGCAGACCAATAAAGATTTTACTTTTAGGGAAAATAAAAAGAATTCTGGTGAAAACAGTGAATTTTGAGTAAAACATCCCCCATGCCGCACTACCAGAAGCAGAGGGTTGTTTGTTAAATTACAGAAAGGATATTTGACATTTCAATTCTTGTCATGAAGTTTAGCCTGTTTTGAAGTTTGCTCTTCCACTCCATCATATAGAATATACTTCACGTCAGTATACACAAATTCTGAGGAATGACTAAATGTGATTCCTCTAACCCCTCTCTTATGGATCAACATATAGGTTACCTTAATTATGTAGGTATTGTAATGATACACTATTCTTGCTGCTAATCGGAAAAATAAGCAGTTAGTGAAAATACTAAATGCGTATGCTGTTTACATCATTTCCAGCTGTGAGTGTGCTAAGGGCAGGAATGGTAAGCCACTCGTGTGGTCCTACAAGGTTCACAGCATTATGGGAGACAGCACGGAGTCCGTCAGACTGGGCAGGGGATTGGGTATCTACAACGCTTCTTAGTTTTTTTGGTGGGGGGCGGACAGGGTCTCTTGTGTAGCCCCGACTGGCCCTGAACTCACTGTGTAGCCCAGGCTGGCCTCGAACTTGCAGCAAACCTCCTGCCTTGGCCTCCCAGGTGCAGGGATCACAGGTGCGCACCAGCCTGTAATGCTGCTTATAAGGCTTAACGCTACACGAGGAATAATGAGGAATGGTTCCACCTGGCAAGAGAAGCCCCCTCTGTGAAGAACAGTGGGAGTCTGCTTCATCCTCGCACAGAAGGCTCTCAGCGAGGGTGCGCAGTGAGAAAGAGGCTTAGCATGCCTGCGTGAGGAGCTGTGCTGGTCAGGGAATGCTTTGCGTTCTTGGTGAATAAAGAATTAGGAAGAAAAAAGGGAAGAGAATCTGAACAGGTAAGTAACAAACGGGAAAAAACACAGAATCCATAAACACAAGGAAAGATAATGAGTATCACTAGTAAAAAGACGCGTGGGTTTAAACCACAAAGAGGGCCGGGGATTTAGCTCAGCAGCACAGCGCCTGCCCGGCAGGTGCGAGGTTGTGAGTTCGATCTCCAGTACCAAAAAAAAGAGAAAAAAACAAAAAACCAAATAAACCACACTAAGACACCACTTTGCAGCCATCAGGGTAGTACAGAGTTCAGTCTCAACTGGACGAGTGGGGTTGAGGGTGGCATGCAGCCCCCACGCCCTGCTGGAGCGCACCCTGCCAACCTCTGCAGAGCCAGACACGTGCACATCCTTTAACCGAACACAGTACTTATTTCACCGCAGAAAAGCTTGCACAATAGGGGTGCAGTAATGTGCCCTATCTAGTGGCAAAAATTGTAAACAACTCATGTGACTGACTGTCAAAAAGAGGAGCAATTAGGGGCTGGGGATTTAGCTCAGCGGCAAAGCACCTGCCTGGCAAGCGGAAGGTCGTGAGTTCGGTTCCCGGTACCGGAGAAAAACCAAAAAAAAAAAAAAAAAGAGGAGCAATTAAATAATGGTCTAGTATAAATACTAAATTATGACATATAGTTGATAATACTATTAGTTAGAGATATTGCATGCTATATGATCTATAATATACATAACCCCTACATATAAAAATGAATGAAGTGGTCGTCCAGGATTATGTTCATAGAAACTTTTTTTTTTGTTTTGTTTTGTTTTTTTCCCGTACCGGGAATCAAACTTACGACTTTGCGCTTGCCAGGCAGGCGCTATGCCGCTGAGCTAAATCCCCAGCCCCTCACAGAAACTTTCGAACAGGCAAAAACACACTATGAATCTGATACACATGTTTAAAGATTACATGACAATGACAAACACGCAAACGGGACTGAGGCAGGGGTGGGCGGAGCCTAGACTCTGGGCTTCTGCTGTATTTGCAGTTTGACTTCTTAAAGTAGGTGGTAGGTACGTGGGTTTTGACATGTTATTTCTTGTTTTGTGTTCCTTAAAATCAATGAGGCTCGCTGGGGATATAGCTCAGTGGCACGGCACCCGCGTGGGAAGTGCAAGGCTGCAAGTTTGATTCCTGGTACAAAGAAAAAAAAATGCAGCCTAAGGGACAGAGGTGGGAAAGTGAGGCTCAGGCTCCGCTGGGCCACAGGGCAGCGGATGCAGCACAGCGGACAGGTCTCTGGTGCCAGGCCCGGAGGGCCTGTTAACTGACAGGTGGGCCGGGCCCCTCAAACTGCCCACCTCCCATCCAGAAGGGACCTGACGCCCTGGGCTGAAGGCTGGGTCGTCGCGCAGAGTCCCAGCTGAACAAGAAGGCAGACAGAGCCAAGTCCATCTCCACCTCCGAAGGCGATGCCCGCTGCACACTGGGGCCTGGGTGGTCAAACCCGGGTTCCTGGGCCAGGAAGGCGTGTGCTGCACTGCGCGGTGATTCTGGCGGGCAGAGCCCTGCGGTCTGCCCAGGGCCTGCTGCCGAGGAAGGGAGGGGAGGACAGGGTGTGTCTCCATGCCAGAAAGGCCTTGTCCCAAGTTCCTGTCCAGGTGGACACACCTGAATTTGATTTTTGCCTTTTGGGAGTTAATAATCATTACTCACCTGAATTTATTTTGCTGATTACCGACACTGTTCCAGAAGACTTTCCAGACAAGCCAGAACTGGACCACGGGTTAGACGGGAGGAAGTCCTTCCCTGAAGTTAGGAGCATGCCATTTCGTATATTTATTCCTAATAGAGAAAAAAATGATTTAGAGGTTCAAAATAAAACAGGAATAGGATAGGAAAAAACCCTGTGGTACATGTATACAATGGAATATTATTTAGCCTTAAAATGAAGACCTTGCAATTTGCCACACCCAAGACTAGAGGATATTATGCTAAATGAAATCATGCAGACAGAGAAAAATACTGTATGATCTCACCTACATGTGGAATCTAAAAAGAAAGAAAAAACAAATACACAGAGACAGACAAGTGACAGACAGCCGTCAAGGGTAGGGGCAGGATGGGGTGGGGAGTGGGGCAATGAGATGGTACGAGGGTGCAAAGTAGCAAATGTGAGCAAAGAATGGGTCCACCGCTCTAATGGTGGAATCTGCTAAACACGTAGATTTGGGCCGCTCTGTCATAAAACCAAAGAAGGGGTAACTACAAGAGCCGGTGGGTGTGTTAAAAAAATTTTGCCATGACAGTCAACTTTTTATTACGTATATGTAGCCCATAAACTACTCTCGTTAATTATACACAATGAAGTTTACTTAAAATGCAAAATATCCACTTAATCTTGTATTAGATTTCAGAGATGGAATTATCACAGATCCAGTTGGCCAAGAACTGCCCCTGGTTCCAAAGTCAAAGCAAAGCCGGTGATGTCACTGACACACGGCAGACACGCTGTCCTCGCAGCTGGCGTGCTCCCTGGGAGGCCTCCTGCGCGTCAGCCTCCGCGATGCCCGGCCAGTGCTGTCCTGGGCGCCACTGCTCCTGGACGTCCTACTCTTCCTCCCTGTGTCCCCTGTCCAGGCCTTGTCCACCCCTATCTCTAGCTCCACCCCCGGCTCTGCAGCCTCTGCTCTCTCCTCTCTGTGTCTGTTCTCTGGGCCCATCCCCTCGCCTGACCACGCCCGCTCTCGCTGCCCCGTGCTGATGACGGTGTCTGTGTCAACCGCCCTCGCCCCCTCTGAGCCCTCCCATCCCAGGACAGCACTGCTGTCTTGCCCTCAGCCTTGACCAACACCACCTCCAGACAAACCCCTTTCCCTTCAAACTGCTCCGCGTTTCCACTCCTACCAGGCGCGGCAGCTATTTTCAGAACTGAAGTCCAAATTCTTCTTTTAGCTTTCTTCCCCCCACAGCCAAAAAGAAACAGCTCTGCGGTCTACTCCCCACTCCTTTTTGCCTTTCTCACGGTAGCTCCTACACACCTGGAGCCCTCCGCCATCTGCTCTCTTTTTGTAAGACATGCTTGGAGACGGTCAGGCCAGTCTTCGGAGACCCAGTGCCAACCCTGATGAAGCATTTCCCTGTTCCCACAAGCCGGTGAGGACTGACTGTGCGAGGAAGACCTGCCGTGCTCTCCCACCCGCTCCTCCGACTGCTCCCCAGCCTGTGCGACCAGCCCTCCTTGGACGGCGGGCAGCTAGAGCTTGCTGCTCGCTGCACATATGATAAACCAGCTCCCTCCTCCAGGGAGACTGCTTCAGGAGCTCCCACTGCTCACCCACACACGCCAAAGCTCTTACGAGGCCCCCCAAGATGCCTCATGCTGTATGCTCCTGGCTCTCCTTAGGTGCTCCGGGTATAGGTCTCTGCCCTTCCCCCCAGGCCAAGCCCCGCTGCCTCTGGGCCTCTGCATGTGCAGTCTCCTCTGCCTGCTGTGCTCTCCCTCCAGCTTCGCACACACCGGCTTCTTTCTCACTCTCTGGGGCCACTTGCCGAGGCCTTCTTACCACTCCATCCCCACTGCGATTACTGCCCGCCTGTGTCTCAGCACTAGGAGATCACTCATGCTAGGAGTGCTCTGGCTGCAGGGCTGCCTGGAGGCTTGTGGGTGGCTGGAGGAGCAGCCTGGGGTCGAGCAGCTCGGGGCCCTGTGGCTGCTCAGCTCACCACGATGCCCGCCCAGATGCTCCACACATATTTACCGACTGAGCTGGTTTGTGAGTGGATGATTGGCCAACACTGTCAGCTTGGAACACAGAGACTCTGCAGACAGGTGTGGGCAGCACTGAACTACAGCCCGCAGTGGCGTGTAACCCCACGGGGCTGAGCGTGCTTCTGCTCTCACCTCCGGCCGGGCCACTTCTCCCGGACCGGGTCTGACGGCGCGGCTTCACACAGGCTGCCTGGTCCTTGCCCTTGCCTCCTTCCGCAGGGTCTGGACCCAGTTTCTCAGACCCCTTTTTTAATCTCAGAGGACTACCAAGATAAGAAATGTGTGGCCTGGCTTCAGCAAATCTTTCTGCATCCACAACAATGTGTTCACAACACTGGCAGCGAATGGACCCGCAGCTGCACGGGCTGCCTCCAAGAAGGCTTTGTGCCTGGGCCCGCAGCCCCACCAGGCCCTGAGAACGGCGACCACGATGGCACCAGGCGGGGAGGTCGAGCAGCCCGAGCGCGGCCCTGGTGACACTGCCCCGCACCAGGCGGCTCTGGGCGGTGGCGAGGACGCTGTGCTGCTCACGGTGGTGCTCGCACCCAGCACATCTGCCCAGTGGGGCCTTGTGCTACCCTTCAGTGCCATCTTGGTGACCTGGCCAGCGAGGGGCCTGCGAGCCACCGGTGCCCAGTTCTGGCCCTGGCAGCCCAGGCACTCGGAGCAGGTGCGGGTGCAGGTGGCTGCCGTCTCCTTGGCTCCAGCGCGGCGCATTCCCGGGGGTCCCAGCTGACTTCCTGACGCTCGGGCCCTGCCCAAGCTTGAAGTCGAGTCCCTTCGGCAAGCTCTGGGCCCGGGCGCCTCACCCACAGCTCTGCAGCCTTTAGCTGGTTTCATGCCAGCTCTGCCCCCACAACCTGAAGGGCCCCGGGGTTGTGGCCTCTGATGTAACTGGGCCTGCTGGTGCGGCGCGATGCCTGTAGCGCCATCTAATTTCCACCTTCCTCACTGCAGCCCTTTTCCTGGAGGGGAGGGAGCTGCTCCTCCAGCTCCTGTCTGCAACTGTCTCGGGAGAGGGACTCGACCTTAGTGAGAAGCGTCTAGGAAGAAAGCAGCAGGCAGGCCTGAATGCCAGAGGAGGCGTGAACTGTAGGATCAGAGGTTACGGGCAGCAGCTGCCTGGCCCCGGAGGGGTTAACCAGGTGCCCTGAATGCACACCCCAAAGCCAGAAGTAGAGCAAGCAAGCGTTCAGAGCACAGGCCATCCAGGCCATCGTCTGCAAAGTAAGTGGCAGTTTTGACGTTTTTACTCTGCTTTAAAGTCAAAGTGAGGTCAATCAACTTTCATTGATTTAACTTTTGAAACTGTATTTTTCCATTTCTAGGCAAAATGCTCTAACATTTTCAATGTCAGAATCCTATTAAAAGTAGATAATCAAGATCTAAAGAAAATTAGTCCCGATGAACAAAACTTTTAAAGGTTTATCCGCCTCATTTTAGGCAATCAAGACCCTGGAGTCTTGGGCACGGAATAACCACTGTGACCCTCAGGAATGTAACTGACTTCACTTGCGCGGTGAATCTATCAGGAAAACAGTGCACCGGGGGAGTCAGGTGACCCAACAGACAGGAGCTATTTCAGCAAATATTTTTAAACTATGGTGAAAGGTCAGTGGTATGTTTGGCACTAACAGTTTGATTCTACATGAATATTTAATTTTTTTAAAACTGTGATCTACTTGTGGGTTTACTTGTTGTACTATGCTTCTGAATCTGTGGTTTTCACCACATCAGAAAATTAGTAGACAGTAATTGATACAATTAAGGAGCAAATCTTTTAAGTGAAAGGTCTAAACAAACAAATGATAATATATGTTTTAAAATCATTTGAAAGGCAAGCATGGAGGATGGATGCAAGTTTGAGGCCAGCCTGGGCTACATAGTGAGTTCAAAGGCAGCCTGAACTACATAGTAGGACCCTGTCTCAAAAAATAAAAACAGAAAAGAAACTTTTGAAAGCAGACAATTCAGCACTTGGGAGGCTAAGGCAGGAGGACTGCTGCAAGCTCAAAGCCAGCCTGGGCTACAAAGTGAGTTCAAGACCAGCCTGAACTGCATAGTGAGACCCTAAGAAGACCAAAAAA